TTGGTAAATCTCTTCCGTGTTGCGTTCACCATGAGGTCGCTGAACTGAAATCATTCGCTTACGGGGAAACTAAGTTGAATTTTACTTGCATTTTATAACAATTCAACGAATTTATTTTTCGTGCGTTATTGTAATCACTACTAAATAATAATCACCAATATCAACACTTCGAAAACAAGTAAGTTATTCACTTGTGACCAGCAGCATGGCCGGATCGAGCTACCGTTATGTGATCATTTGCTACTAAGCAGTGCATTCGTGTTTTTATTTGAAACTTCTGTTAGAATATACTTTTCGTTACCAAGAAAATTAAAAAAAATAAATGCATATTACATTAAAAATACTGAGTATTTTTTGTATCATGTAGAATTTTTTTTTGATTGACTGTAATTTTTCAACATTTCGTAACGCCTATTTTAGAACCAAAATAAGGCCTTTCACTCTTCCCCGACGCCTATTCAAGAGATTGTACGGTGCGGTCCTACTATTTAACGCCCGGACACGCGAGGGAGTGTCCGGGCACGCGCGGAGGCGAACAGGGGGGAATACCTAACGCGCGGGGCAGCGGCAGCAATCCTTGTACTGTATAATATTCGTTTATGCTCAAAATTTGAACCGGAGTGGCGAATTCGAGCAGCTAACCACACTTTTTATGATCGACGCCCGGGCATTCCGGCGAGTCGAGTCCGCTATGTTGTTTACTAATTTTGGTTAGCGTTTAACAATAGGACAATACCATTCGATCCATGGGGGTGACAGTCCTACGAATGTGCCGACATTGTCGAAGGACAAGGACAGGGCAAGTTTGTGGAAGTGTGGCGAGACTCCCGTAGTATTTTTTAGTACGATTCATTTAAAAATGACCATGTAAGACGTCTGTTACGCAGAAATTATTCACCTCATGTTGTTTTCTCATTGTTATGTGTCCTCGTAAACACAGCATTGTATGCAGGTGACAATGCTACGTACACTTGCAATGAAGTCAGTATCCTAAGAATTCCTTTCCTTTCCTGTTGCAGTGCAAGTTTGTATACGGTAAATATCGTGAACGGTACAGAGTTCGGTAAATCTCGTGTACGGT